AATAATATTACTACGCGCACACACTTATATATATATATATATATATATATAATTTATAGTTGTGGCTGTGGCTGTGGGCGTGGGTGTGTGACTATACGCACATTTGTACAGATTTGCGTTAGATCTAATGTATCTGCAATATTTGCGTTGTAGTATCATAGATTTACAAGGTATATATATACATGTGAACATAGACACACGAAAATCCATTTACACGAGCAAGCACACATACATAAAATCATTTTTATGTCGGTGTACATATGTTTAATGATGATTGGCTCTTACTTATTCGCGCACCGACGTATCACTCCAAACACATTCCTACCGAAACTCATTCGAAATGAGAACCTCATGTAGTTTATACGCTATTCAATTGCTTTTAGATGTTAGTGGAGCCGAGTCCACAAAATTAACCGGAGCGTTCAAGCAAATGGGCCGCACATGGGCAAAGACTGAGATGCCTGCTGCAGGCCATGTATACGGTGGCGCTGTGATTGACGGGACAGACTATCCATTTCTCGCGGTGCTTATAGATGATCAGGTAATATATGGCAATATTAGTTGTAGTGAAGCATCTGAGTGTTCACTTTGTTCAGGAGAACTCTCACTTAAGCCATAATTTATCTTAAGCCATAATCTTAGCTACTGTTCAATTATAGTCAACATAGACTATTGTAATTGCATTTATTTTTGTTTCATTATGGTCAACATCGCCAATTGTACTTGTAGTTAGCTACTGTTCAACTATAGTCAACACACACTACAGTATCGTACTTCTATATACTGTCTATATTCGTTGCATAGATATACAGTCTTACTAGCCCGAAATTACGTTTAAGATTTTAGTCCCAGCATTTCCCGCGGTAGCAGGGTACCTGGATTGTTGCCTTTATAGCTATGCTTCAGCATGATAGCTATACTTCAGCCACTCAGATACCTCCTGAGAAGCCAATGAATCAAGGCGAACTCTCTCTCTCTCTCTCTCTCTCTCTCGCGAGTTTAAATTACGTAGTTCACGTCCCATTAGAGTTGCAATGACTCATTTTCACATCTGTACAGTAGAACTATGCACGAACAGTGTTATTGCGTACTATTACAAACAGGGTTGGTTATAGTGATGATCATTGGGCACTAAAGAGTGTTCAAACAATATTTACTGCGTAGTATCATAACAGCTAGGGTTTAGGGGTTTTTTAAGGGTCGTAGGGTTTTTTTTAAACCCTAAGCCACTCAAGGGTGTTCAAACAATATTTACTATTATCGTCGGGCGCTTTTAACCATACGTTTTCGAAATTATCTCCGTAGGTGGATCACTTTATACAAGTTTGCGACGGATCGCTTGTTTCGGATACCTTTGTACTAACGGCAGCACATTGTGGTAAGTGCGTTTCTGTATCTTCATCTTCGTTTTGGAGGCATGTATTTGTGCATGAATGTGTTTTGTATGCATGCATATCTACATATATATA